CTGAGAAAGTAATGTGAGGGCGGAGATCTGATAAAAGGAAAGATAAAGGGGTACTGGCAAATCTACCGTAAAGGACCTCTGACGGTAGGGCGTCAAAACGTGCTAGCATAAAACCTCGTCTTAGTGATGGAGCAGTGAGCTGTAAAAAATAATCAGCTATAATCTACATTTCTTGGAGTTATGTTAAACTTCAGAGGGGAAGGGGTGAGTCCAGAACAGAGAGTTTGCTTTTCAATATCGAACATTCTCTGCCTCAAGGACCTGAAAATTTGAGATCCGCCTGACAGAAGCAGGGTCAGGAACCCTGTGTATCCTTCCTTTCAGGAACCCTGTGTATCCTTCCTTTCAGGAACCCTGTGTATCCTTCCTTTCCACTGCTTTGGTGCTGTCCCTTTAATATGTAGATTACTGCTTCCAGGGAGTCTTCCTTCCTTCCAACTCGCACCCTGTCTCTCTTCTCCATCTTGCTTCCATGAGAGCAGGATGCACTTTCCTACATCTCCATCCATCCAAGCAGGGCTCATTTCCTGCAGGAGCGCACAGGAGTGAAGCTCCGGCAGTAAGGAGCCCAGGGGGGCAGGCACATGCAGCAAGCCCCATCCCCTGCTCCCAGCAGCCCTCCCTCACCTTTCCTGGCCTGCTGGCCAACCCAGCGGAGTGCTGCTGCGAGCTGGCCCTTGAGCTGCTCAGCCACTGCCTGGACCGTGGCACCCAGCCCGCCCAGGCTCTGCCCGTCCTCATGCTGGTCCTGGTGTGGCGTCTCTGCAAGGTGGGCTCCGGCTACTCCTGCGAGGCCTGTGAGGAGATCTGCCTCGGCCTCCTGTGCCTACTTGACCTCCTCCTGTGCCTCTGCCCTGCCACCACCCTGTGCCCCTACCTACTTGAGTCAAAAAAGATATAAGGGGTCACAGTGTGCAGATACATGCCAACAAACAAGAAACCACTGTGATAAAATGACAATGACACACTTAATAAATTCTGTAGACATTTTGCAGTAAAACAAAGTCCAACTTATTCATTTTCTCAACAGAGTCCAACATATTCCTTTTCTCTTTTCTCTTTCTCGATGAGTACACCGGTTTTTACACTCATTTCAGCTATCTTCCTCATGAGTAATCTTATAAAGTTGGAAGGTGTTTTCTTCTTAGTAAATTATCCTGTAAAAAGCATAGTTTTGAGGAGTAGAAACAAACATGAAGCTGAATGTAATAATTTTGTTATCACTTTTAACTAGAATAATTTTAAACTTACTTTCAGTTCAATTGCATATACTAGAATAGGAGCAAGCCAATAACTTAATTTCTATTCGTAGCAGCCAGTCCAAAATTTTTATGTGGCAACCGGCCTACTTTAAATTGGCTGGCCATTTGCTCTCCATTTCACATTGTTGGCTGGTAGCTCTCTATTAGTGGGTGCATTTCAGCATTTCATATCTATCTGGCTGAAAGCCTTCTTAGAAATAGGCTGACAATGCTCCATACTTCTCACTCTGGAAAGCTACGAATAGCTAGCAATCCAAAACAGTCCAGTGGATCCTGAGCAGTGGGTGTTGCCTTCTGACACACTTCCAGTGATGTCAGGGGGTGTGGCATATGCAAATAAGTTATGCTAATAAGTTATGCTAATGAGCTCTTGCATCTCTTTTTCTACAAAATGACCCCTGCATCCAAGTTCAGCTAGCTGATTTAGAATGGTATCTCGGTCCTGGGCTTTTCCACATGGGCTTTTTTCATGGGTTTTGGCCCCATAATGCTTTGGTTTACCCTCTGATTTCTGCATGGATTGTTTTTGCTTTTAGTTTTCAATTTGGGTTTTTGTTTTTCCCCAGTCCTTTCAAGAGCACTTTTACCCCTATCTTATTTCTGGAAGCTGATTTCCAGTCGCCTGTTTCCTTGTGCGTAATATTTCTCTCAGTGTTCTTTGTCCCTCCCATTGCTACCCACTTCCAGATGTTTTTCGCTGGCTGCTTCTCCCCCCCTCGAAGACAAGTCCCTTTTTTTTAAAGGGCACTAGAATATGACCGTATTGATATGCCATTATAATGATAGATCAAGCAGGTTTTCTGAATTCCCAGCTTCCAATCTTTTAAGAAAGCATGTTGCTAGCCACATAACTGATTCCACAACTGGGAAAATGCAGAGGAAGGGCAGATGTGTGGAAGAACCCTGCCCAAACCCATTCCAACGCTAGTAGATGGATTGCCAAGAAAATCAGGAATAAGCTGAATGTGAGGATAAGCTCCCCACCTGGTGTAGAATGGAGCTCCTTCACAAGGAAGGACTCAGTTTACCAAGATCAAAGGCTTCATGTGAACTTTGTCTCCTAAGTAGCAATGCAGATTTCACACTGCCATCCCTCCATTGCATTCTCACAGGTTATGTAGCCCAGAACAAAAACACTCCAGTAACTAAGGAGTTAAATATGTCTTCAGTGACTACTGGGTGGGGGCACACCGGGCGGAGCAGTTTAACTAAGTGGAGTAAAGGTGCTTCTTCATCATAAACAAAGAGGAAGGTAGAAATAGCAAGCAAGATGGCTTCTGCCACTAGTCTAGAGGGGAACTATCACCTAGCAGCTCTGTTTGGAGGTGGGGTAGAATCCTTATATAGAAAATACTAGGAGTCCCAGATATGCCTATACCCCCATTTATAAAACTTAAGGTTGCATGCAATAAGTTGTCATAGTTTCAGTGCTCTCCCCTTCACTAACAATGGAGGAAAGGTGGCTGGGTGTTAAAACCCACGCTCCCTTGCTAATGAGCAGCTGGATCATAAACAAAATTTGGCAGCTAATAAAATCTGGGCTCACCGTTTTAAATGCATTCATTAGCAAGTTGCAGTGCGGATTCCTGCAAAAGTTGCGGAGACAGAAAAACCACATAGCCTAATGACCTCCCTGGGGCAGTGAGCAACCAGGAGGGCCATGGTGTTGACATTTTTGCAGACCACAGGATCCAGACTTTAATACAGGGGTCCCACTGCGGGCTTGTGGGCGTTCCCATGGCCATCCTTCGTTCCTCCGCTCAGGAAAGAAGGCGTTTCAAAAACAGATTAACAATTGAAACTTTTAGTCTAACTATATTATTGATTAAAAAATTTTCTACCCCACCCCTCTTCCATTCAAAATTCCAAAATTGCAAGGGCCGGCAGACAAGGAGGAATTTCAGACAGACGATATAATCCGGAAGAGGAATGGTTCCCAAATGGTTTCTGGTCTGTCATTTCAGACAGAACCATTTTAGAACCAGTTCCCTACCGGAATATATTTTTAATTTCACACACAAATGCTTCTGTCCCATTTAGGAAATGGGGCTGAAGCGTTTTACCTGTCAACTGCTTCCAAGTAGTCTTCAGTTCCCTCTCCCGGTTCCAATGCGCTTTTCCCCGCCATTTTTTGCCTGCGCGGGCAATCTCCAGCTTTTTTGTTGGAACCTTTGCTTTATATCGTTATAGAGCTGTAACGGTATAACACAACAGCATTATATCAACCCCATTGGAATGCCTGGAGTGTTTTGTTATAGCACTATAGCGCTATACCGATATAAAGCGAACATTAAAAGAAAAGCTGGAGATCGCCTGCGTGGCGGGGGAAAAGCGGGAAAAAGTGGTGCAGTCTGAAATGGCAGATCGCTTCAAATCCAGCTCTTTACTGGAAAGGGAAAGCCATGTGTGAAATGGCAGCCCTATACCGGTTTACTCCACGAGGGATTAAAAACGGCTTCAAAACGGGTTAAAAAGGGCGATGTGAAATTCCTCATGCTCTCTCTTCCCGCAAAAATATCAGGAGAGGCCGAGGGCTGTTGCCGTGGGAAAGGCAGGCATTGTCCTGGTAATCAAAATTGTTACTGTTGAAACAGGAGCCTGTAGATAAAACTGAGCCGGTTATTGTACGGGGGGTGCAGTCAGAAGGCCAGGAGCTGATTACAAGCTCTCTGATCTCCCATTTCTCCCGGAATGTCTCCCGGGCGAGGTTATACAGACTGGCTAAAACCTCCCCCAACAGGGCCATGGTGCTGGGGATTGGTGGGGTTAATCCCCCCCCCTTTGAAATGTATCCTCACTGGACTACTTTACAGCCTAGTAGGGATGCAATATACTGGGTTCAGACGCGTAGAAGTGATCAGCTCATAGTTTATTAATGATTCAGCAAGAGAAAGAAGAGACTGGCTAAAACCTCCCCCAACAGGGCCATGGTGCTGGGGATGGGTGGGGTTAATCCCCCTCCTTTGAAATGTATCCTCACTGGACTACTTTACAGCCTAGTAGGGATGCAATATACTGGGTTCAGACGCGTAGAAGTGATCAGCTCATAGTTTATTAATGATTCAGCAAGAGAAAGAAGACTGAAATCCCTGGCCCCAAAGCCTGATATTTATGCCTGGAAAAGGTTACACCCAAAACACACCCCACTCCCAACGATAGTCTGTTTACACTCCATTGTTTCCTCATTGGTTTTCTCTAGGATCCCTGTCTCCTTACTGGTCCATTCAAAGATCCTAGCAAGCCTTTGCTATGCGTCCTAAACTCAGTCCTTTTGCAAGGACAGTTCAGGCTCAATACATAACAAAGGAAAAAATGACAGGTTCAGTGCTGGTCTTTTCCCCTCACTGTGCTTGGGGGGGGGGGGCGGTCACTTCTATTTAAGGAAACGGTTGGTTTAGCCATCTCTCCCACCATGTTGTGGGTCCAACCCATATCAAGCCTTCTTGCAGATGATTTTTAGCATCAAATAATGCATCTGGAGCTTCAGTCATAGAATATGACATGTAGTTCAGCCCTAATGCAAACATTAAATTGCAAAGTTACATATTATTTAAGTTTTTTAAAAAATCTGGATTTCCAACTATGAACCTTGGATGGACATAGAATTTAAGGGTTTTTGTTTGATTGGTTGGTTTTGTTTCATAAAACCATCCCATAATTTTAAAGCAAATTGGTTATTTGAGGGGGTTTTTTTGGCCATCCTAAAGAACTGTTTATTTCCTCCCCTTTTCTAGGAAAAATGTCACACAGAAAATCACGTTTCGCAGAGATGATGCAACATCTTTTAGCTCAGATAAACAACTTCATGAGTTTACATCCAGAAAAATGTATCGATCTAATAAACAAGGTAATAGAGTTTTTTGAAGACGGAGGAGAGGATGAAATAGTTTCTGAAGCAGCAGAAGACCTAAAAGCTTGGGAAAACACTAAACTCACCATTGCTGTCACTGGAGACACAGGAGCTGGGAAATCTTCCTTCATCAATGCTTTCCGGCGGTTGAGACCTGGTGATGTGGGTGCTGCTCCCGTAGGAGTAAGAGAGACAACGCAGAAGCCAGATTCTTATGAGCATCCTAACCTCCCCAATGTGATCTTCTGGGACCTTCCAGGAATAGGAACCCAAGGATTTCCTCCAGAAACATACCTTAAACAGGTGAAATTCTCCCGCTATGACTTCTTCATCATTGTATGCTCAAAGCGGTTCCGAACCTGCGACGTTCGCCTAGCTCGAGAGATCCAGGCCATGGGCAAGAAGTTTTATTTCGTCCGGTCCAAAGTGGATGAAGATTTGAGCAATGCAGAGAAGACCAATCCTGAAAAATACAGCGAAGAGCAGATCTTACAAGAAATCAGGGATGACTGCAAAAAGAATCTGGAGAAGCACTTGAGAGCCTCCAACCCTCAGATCTTCCTGACTTCCTGTTGGGATCCTGACAAGTATGACTTCCCTCTCCTCCTGGAGACTCTGGAGAAAGATCTGCCCAGCCTGAAGAGACTGGCCTTCCTGCTCAGCCTTCCCCACATCTCCCCTGAGGTCATACAGAAGAAGAAAGACGCACTGAAGAAACAGTCATTGAAAATATCTGTGGTGTCTGCTTTTGTCAATGCCATGCCCTTGGGAGACCTTAAGGTATCTTATGATGCTGATCGCATGGTGAAGACCATAACTGGCTTCTACAAGAAGTTTGGGTTGGATGACGGCTCCCTAGCTCGGTTGGCCAGGCAGATGAAGAAACCCGTTGAAGAGCTGAAAGTTGTGATTCAATCACCACCTGAAAAAGACATTGCCAAAAAATTATGGGTGAAGCAATGTGCCTCTGAAGTAGGACAAATACTGAGCTCTTCTTTTCCTGGGAAAGGTCATGTTGTCAGTGGGGTGTTTTCCTTTGTAGCCACGTACTGGACACTCTCCGAGTTCTTAGATCAACTGGCTGAAGATGCCAAAGGAGTTCTGTTGCTGGTCGAGTCTAGGTAAAGACTCACTTTAAGAGCTAAAAAATCCTAAGCAATAAATTTCCAACAAATCCTGAAAAGTAAAATAAATTTCCAGTTCCACTCCCAGGAGGAAAAGTTGGATGTTGTGAGTCGAATAAATGGGTTTGCAGATATTTCCCTGAATTAAGGAAGAGCATGTGCGGGAAGAGCATGTGATTAGATTTCCTGTGTAGGCTAGACAGGCAATGTTTCTAGTTTCAGATCACTTCTGTTCCCTTGTTATAAGTGTAGTTATATGGAGGCCAATCCTATGGTCCAGAGTCCAGGCTAAGATGACCACCATGATATCTGAATTTACAACAGCGTTATGAGTTTGGCTAGAAATTTTGGCATCCAAACCATGGACTTTTCCTTACACTCTCATTTTACTCGCTGGTAAGTTCCTGTTTCTTAGTGTGTGGGGGGGAGGTCTGTTCCACACATCTTTTGCTCCCTCTAGTGGCTGATTCACTACCACACTGGTTTATTTCCAGCCGATTTAAACTGCAGGGAGATACGCTGGAAATAAACCTGTGGAATATCGAATCGACCACTAGAATGAGCAAAACATACATGGGAACAGCCACCCCCCCAGATGAAACAAGAACTTACCACTGAGTAAAATGAGAATGCAAAAAAAGCCCAATATCTAGTTGCAAGAAACTGATAGATTGGATCCAGGCTAAATTGTCCGCAAACAGAAAGGGAGGTGTAATATCCAACTATTTCCCCTTCTTGCTGCAGACCCCTGATTTGGTCCTCATGCAGTTCTTGAGGGGCCACCCCCCCCCCCAGAACAGCATTTCAGGGAGATCAGTGGGCTACAGTGGAAGAGGTGGAAAAATTCTGTTTTGCTGCAGTCATTTCATGGGAAATGTAATCCGGATCCACTCTCAAATATAAGATCCTAAAAAGCACGAGGGATAATCATGGCCAACGTTTGTGAGGGCATTAAGGTGAGCTTTTCATTCTAAATTTTATATCAAACTCCCTCCCCGTTGATGCCAACCTCACACTCTGGCCAAGGACTGCATTAACGTCCATATCTTGTAACGTAGCATGTAAAATGATAAGGATCCAATCTTGCATTTATGTATCAGTGGGGAATTTCAGACAGACGATATATTCCGGAAGAGGAACGGTTCCCAAACAGTTTCTGGTCTGTCGTTTCAGACAGAACCATTTGAGAACCGGTTCCCTTCCGGAATATATTTGTAATTTCAGACACAAATGCTTCTGTCCCATTTAGAAAACGGGGCTGAAGCATTTTACCTGTCAACCGCTTCCAAGTACTCCTCAGTTTCCACTCCCGGTTCCGATGCAGTTTCCCCCCGCTGTTTTTTGCCCCCGCGGGCAATCTCCGGCTTTTTAAAAAAACGGTCGCTTTATAGCGTTATAGCGCTATAACGGAACCTCAAACTATCGCCATAGCTATCCCATCGGAATGCCTGGACTCCACTAGGATACATGCGATGGCTACATCTGCCCCCTGGAAACAATTACCCCATTGGACAGTGGCTTCCAGCGGGACATCAGGGCATCACCAATTGGTGAGAGCGATGTTGCTAACCCTTCCATGCCCAAAGACAAGTCAGGAGAAGGTGAAGGGTTGTCAGGTTGCCACCTGGAAACAAGTACCCCATTGGACAGCAGGTTCAGGCGGGAGATCAGAGCATCACCGATTGGTGAGACAGATATTGCTAACCCAGCCTGATGTTCACCTATCCAGGCCAAGAAGTGACTGGCTGGCACAGAGCTGGACCAGGTATAAAGGGCAAGGAGGCAAACCCCTCATCTTTGTGGGTTGAAGCTGGTGAGTGGCAGGCTGGTCTGGGGAGAGGGGTTTGGTTGATTAACAACAGGGAGGATGAGTGTGAGAAGGTGCATTACCTGGGAGGAGCAGGAGGTTCGTGACCTCCTTGTATTGTGGGGGGAATGATAGGATACAGGAGGTTCTCAGGCTTAACCACAGAAATCGTGCTGTATTCTAAAATATTTCTGTGGGAATGGCCAAACGGGGCCATGGCAGAACAGCGGAGGAATGACGCAATAAAACTAAGGCGATGAGGATGAGATACAGGCAGGTCCTGGATAATAATTCCAGGCCTGGAAATAAAAGGATCTCATGTCCCTATTTTAGTGTGCTACATCAGATCCTCAAAGGGGAAGGATCATTGAGGCCTAGAGGAAAGGTTGCAACTGCCACCACCTTCCGGGATGAGGTGCCAGAAGAGGGAGTTTCCCAGGACCTCTCCTGCCTGGAGACGGTGAACCTGGAGGACATCAGAGCTGGTAAGTGATGCATATAAGGGATGGGGGGGGGAAGTCACTGTCAAAGATGATGCACAGATGACTGTAGTATGCATGTACAGATTTTCCTTGCCTGATTGCTGGGTGGTCCTTTCAGTGAGGTGGAATGACACTTACTGCTTCCCTAGTTTTGTGATTTGCAAGATTTGCAAGAATTCTGAATTGGGGGCTCATGAAAATGACCTTGTTTATGGGTGTTGCCTACCTTACAGGGATGTCATTTTCTTCTCCAACCATATTCTTGCAGTGATAGAAAGGCAGGAACTGTTTGGGTCACTGTATCTCTCCAATGCCCAAAAAAGTCTGTACTATACCGATTCACCTATGCCAACAGGCACTGCCACAATATTTGATGGGAGGCAAGGCAGCATGTCAGAATTCAGACATGCTTCAAGTTATAGGACTATGCAGGACAGACAGAAGATTATGCATAGGTATAAACTTTGTGGGTCCTAAAGGTGCCACTAGAGTCAGTGTATGTATTTACTTGCCCCCTCATCATTGTCAGTTGTTCATTTTGAGAAACCTAATGGACAAAATGTTAACACTTACTGTTGTGTCCGCTGACCGCCACCAGGGGCCAGCGAATACCCCAGAGCTTGACTCTGGGAGAACAATGGGGGCTAGGCTCCTAGTCTCTTTAATGCCGCAATAAAACTAAAACAATGAGGATGAAATACAGGCAGGTCCTGGATAATAATTCCAGGCCTGGAAATAGAAGGATCTTATGTCCCTATTTTAGGGAGCTACATCATATCCTCAAAGGGGAAGGATTGTTGAGGCCGAGGGGGGAGGTTGCAACTGCCATCACCTTCCGGGATGAGGTGCAAGAAGAAGGAGTTTCCTAGGACCTCTCCTGCCTGGAGACGGTGAACCTGGAGGACATCAGAGCTGGTAAGTGATGCATATAAGGGATGGGGGGGGAGGTCACTGTCAAAGATGATGCACAGATGACTGTAGTATGCATGTACAGATTTTCCTTGCCTGATTGCTGGGTGGTCCTTTCAGTGAGGTGGAATGACACTTACTGCTTCCCTAGTTTTGTGATTTGCACGATTTGCAAGAATTCTGAATTGGGGGCTCATGAAAATGACCTTGTTTATGGGTGTTGCCTACCTTACAGGGATGTCATTTTCTTCTCCAACCATATTCTTGCAGTGATAGAAAGGCAGGAACTGTTTGGGTCACTGTATCTCTCCAATGCCCAAAAAAGTCTGTACTATACCGATTCACCTATGCCAACAGGCACTGCCACAATATTTGATGGGAGGCAAGGCAGCATGTCAGAATTCAGACATGCTTCAAGTTATAGGACTATGCAGGACAGACAGAAGATTATGCATAGGTATAAACTTTGTGGGTCCTAAAGGTGCCACTAGAGTCAGTGTATGTATTTACTTGCCCCCTCATCATTGTCAGTTGTTCATTTTGAGAAACCTAATGGACAAAATGTTAACACTTACTGTTGTGTCCGCTGACCGCCACCAGGGGCCAGCGAATACCCCAGAGCTTGACTCTGGGAGAACAATGGGGGCTAGGCTCCTAGTCTCTTCCCTTGGGAACCAATAGGACCATGGCGGGAGATTTAAACCCACCAACGGGACTTAGGGGGGCGTCCCCAGGTGTGTATATAGTTGGCCAGCCAGCCGTTAGTCTTTGTCTTTGTTGTGTCCAGTAAACCATGCTGATCACTACATCGGTCTCAGTGGTTTCTACTCGCGTTTAACCCACTACACATCAATGGCGATGAGGATGGGATCCCGCTGAGCAATCCGGACGGGCTGTTGGGACTCGGTGAGGGAAGACATCGCACCCTGAGCTGGTCGATGTGCCGCCGGAGGATTTGGCTGCACTCTGTGGACACCTCATACATGTGATGAGGATGGGATCCCGCTGAGCAATCCGGACGGGCTGTTGGGACTCGGTGAGGGAAGACATCGCACCGCTACCTACACTCCTCCAAACAATGAGCAACGAGCAAACTGCTTCCCAGCCGCAGCCGCAACCAACCAGCACAATGGCCCTTGCTGGTACCGCCCTGCGATACAAACCGGCCACAGCAATGGGGAGCCTGGATCACCGGCCTGAAGCAAGTCCTGATTTTCTACCAGGTGACGGATGAGACCAGGAAGAAGGGCCTCCTACTCGGGTCGTGTGGACCCGCCATCGTAGAACTGGCCCAGTACCTCCTCTCCCCTAAGAAGCTCGAAGACTGCACCTTCGACGAAATCGTCTCGGCTGTCCAGAACCACTACACACCTAAGCCTTCAGAGATGACGTGACACATGGTCTTCCACCAGTGGAGTCAGCAAGGCCGCGAAACTGCTGCGGAGTTCCTTAGTGAACTCCGCCACCTGGCATCCGAGTGCAAATTCGAGGCACACTTGGACCTGGCCCTGCGAGGCCGTTTCGTCACTGGTCTTGTTATGTAGTGGGTAGCCGCATGGATGGACGACAGACCACGACGTAGTGCATAGCACGCTTTATTAGGCACACAGCAAGACATGCCGACAAACGGCCGGCAGGCCAACTATATACACACCTGGGGACGCCCCCTGGTCACCATTGGTGGGTTTGAATCCCCCGCCATGGCTCCCATTGGTTCCCCTGTGGAGGGACTAGAATCCTAGTCCCCATTGTCTTCCAGGACTGAAGCTCAGGTATGTGCGCTGACCTCCGGTGGCGGTCAGTGGACACAACACCCCTCCCCCCATAGTCCGGAACCCCCCCTAGGTGACATAGTCTTTCAGGTACGCTGGGGGCTGTCGCACCCTTGCTGATCGTCTGGGGCCCTGTGCTGGAGCCCCCTGGGTTCTGACCTCAGGTGCGGAATCTTGTGGTGGAGCTGGGGCTTCAACCGTCTCCCGTTCGGGTTCTGGGGACCCCACCTCCGCTGTTGGGGTCTGGCTGCCCCACGGTGGGTCCT